TTCCCTACAAGGCAGTTTCCAAGAGCAAACCTCTAAATACTGTTTTCTAGCCATTACAAGGCACATAATGCTTCCTTGCCTACTTATGCATTGTTGGACAGCTAAGGAAAGTAGGCAGCACTGGGAACGGGGGGAAACCCAACCCCAGCACTGACATCTCCCGCCCTGCCCGGGGTCAGAGCTGGGAGCCCTGTGGCCCCGAGCAGTGGCTCCAGCCCCACAGGCCTATGCTGAGCTCCCAGGCACAGCCCCCTACCGCTGGGAATGGGGCTGGGCTCTCCTGCCTGCCCACCCCTGGTGGGGCTCGCAGCTCCCAGCACCCAGTGCAGGGCCACAGCCAGAGCTGCTGGGGTGCTGGGTGGGTGGGGGCAATTCCTGTGGCCTGTCCCTCTGCCCAGGGTCAGAGCCAGGAGCCCTGTAGGCCCATGGGCCCGTGCCAAGCTGCCAGGTACAGCGCCTGCCACAGGGAGCAGGGCTGGTCTCTCCTGCCTGCCCCCCCAGCAGGGCTCGCATCTCCCACTGTGTGGGGCAGGGCTCAAGCTGGAGCCACCGGGATGCAGGTGGGACCTGCCTGCCCCGGGAGAGATTCTTACGCCTTGTCCTACCCTGCCCGTGGTCAGAGCGGGAGCCCCACACCCCCAGGCAGTGGCTCCAGCCACCCTCCTCCAGCCCCTGTGCAGCCACCCCTGCTACACATGTTGCCACCGTCCCGTTCCCTCCCCCCCCACCCCATGTCTGACTGGAAACCTGTGTCTCAGGTAATCAGCACAGCAGCACTTTTAGCTTACCGGCACTAACCATTTTTCAGTTCAAATCCCTGTTAGCCGGCATGAGTGGGGAATGGGCCATTCCCCACTCATGCCAGTTAACAGGGATTTGAATTGAAAAATGGGTGTAAATCAGTAAAAACTGACTTGCTTAAAAATCAGGGAATTTATCAGTGAAAATCAGTAAAAAACAAGAATGCAGAACACTATGCATACTTCACAGCCTCATCTTAGAATTAACCAGTTTGAAGCATGTCTGCACAGGTATTAGCATAATGGTATCAGCTCAAAGCAGAGGGCAAGCTCACCAGTTGGAATCACCTCGGAAACGTAAGAGAGAACTTGGCTGATTTTGTAGGCATCTAGCTTGGCATGGAAGAAGTTCCCAAGGTGTTCTTATGGGCACTGGTCTACATTAAATGAGCAGAGCTCTTGTTTCTACTAATCTTGGAAGTAACTTACCACCCTGGGTAATTAAATTACTCTCGGAGTGTTCAGTGTGGAAATGGTTGGTATTCATCTTTACTTCTTGTTCTGGGCTCAATCCTGTAAGCAGGAGAGTCTGATCCAGCAAAGCACTTACACAAGTTTTTAATCAGACTTTAAGTGGCAGCTGCAACAAGATTTGGGTATCAAAATTCTACAACTGAGAGAGCAAAACATGGTTCTTGTATTTTGTTTCCATCTTGCTATGTAGCTATCAAAATTAGAAATCTAGCAAAAAGGTATGACCAAATAAGTGTTAGAAAATGACTAGGAAGTAAAGTGGAATGAACAACTGAGAACTGTCAAAGTTCAAAAGCTCCTTCTATCTAAAGTTACCTAGAAGAGATGGAAAGACTTAGGATGTGTTAAGAATGAAGACAGCGCATTTAGCGTGGTAGGTGTGCTGTGGGGCACCTAAAGGAATGTATAGCAGTGGCGAGTCAAAACGATCTCTGTCAAATACTAAGAGGCAGAAAATTCATGGGATTTCATGAAGAGGGTGTGCAAAAATAGGCAGTAGGGCTATGTGAAATTTCGCCGGCAGTTTCGTTTCAACGCTGTTTTGACTCATTTCGAGCTTGAAATAGCAAAATTGAAACGAAACAGAGAGCTTCAAAACAGCCTTGAAATGAGGCAAGTCAAAACATTTTGAAATTTTCAAAACGTTTCGAGTTTCGAAGCTCAAGCTGGGCTTGCCTACAGGGAAACAGAAACTAAAGTAAGGAGAGGGAGGGGGAGGAGGGGGAAGGAGTGCTCTCATTATGGACGGCGCGTGACTGTTATCCTTTCCTGAGGTCCCTTCCAATCCCAGTGCTCTGGGGGAGGGATGGAAAAACTGCATAAAAGGCAGCATTGTTTGAACTGCCCTGCTTTCTGCCTTGGTGTCAGTTGGGTGAGGGCATACCTTAACACAAACACAGTGTCACCCACCCATGTCACGAGTTTTGCCTGTCAGCAGCTAGAGGTGCACGGCACCAGAACACAGAAGCCCTGCACCTATCTCCTTGACAGCTGGCAGGCTTCGTGGCCTCAGCAGGGGATAGCAGGCCTGCAGTTTTCACCCTGCTACGCCTTAACACACATATTGTCACCCATGTCGTGAGTTTTGCAGCCTGAGGTGCAGTTTCCCCCAAACCCC